TGCGAGGCCTGAGACTCGCTTTCCGATGGTTTCCCTTGAAAACGCCTTGCGCGTGGCTACGTTGAACGTTCGAGGACTTGCAGCCAGACGATGGCAACAACAGCTCTACCGGCTGTTCACCGAGCATGACCTGGACATTGTCGCAATTCAGGAAACCAAAGTCGAGAGCGAGGACCAGACCGACTACATGGTGTGGCCTTTTCTGGCGCGGTATGAAGTTTGCGTGAGTCATGCTGTTGGTTTCTCGGCTGGCTGCTGCCTGTTCCTCGAAAATTTTCTAGGTGCTTCCGTGCAAACCGTCACGACCTGCCCATCTGGGAGGTTTGTCATGTGTGATTTCTCTGTTATGGGAAATGAATGGCGTGTAGTTTGTGTTTATGCACCTAATGAGGCTGAGGAGCGCCGGGTTTTTTTCCAAAACGTTTACCAACATTGCCAGTCCGATCGTTTTCTGATTATTTTGGATGACTTTAATTGTATTTGCCGAGCTGAAGACAGGTCCAACCGAACGCGCTATAGGGATATAGGGATGCCAGTACCCTAGAATTAAATAACATTATTGAAGATTTTGTTCTGGAAGACGTCGCATGTTGTGTGCCTAGGTCAAACTGTCAGTCACGCTAGACTGGACCGGGCGTATATCTCATTCGATCTTGTATATTTATGTCGGAGTTATTCTGTAGACTACGTTGCTTTTAGCGATCACTGCCTTGTAACATTCCAATTAGATAAAAAGAAAGAGGGGGCCAATTTCTTTTGGGAATTATGGCAAATTAATGCGAAACTTTTAAAGGATGAATCGTTTATTTTCTGTATTAAGACAATCTGGAATGACGTGCAGCTGAAAGGAGGCACTGCAAGCGAGCGCTGGGAAACATTTAAACAGGAGATGAAATTAACTGCACTTGAAAGGACATGTCTCCTCAAGTCTCAGGAGAAGAATCAAGAATTGGAGCACCGAAAAAACTTAGACAGGTTGCTACAGGAAGAATGCCGAGCACCTGGCGTTTTCATTGAGGATATGAACCACTTGAAAGTTAAACTCGAAAGTCTCGGTCGCGACCGATACAGGGGGCGGCAATACGCGCTCGTTCAGAGCGTTTCTTGGTGGGAGAGCAGCCGACAAAAAGGATGGTGGCGGCGGAAAAGAAATACGCGCGAGCTAATGATGTAGTTAAAATAGAACGCCTGGGGGTTTTGTCTAGCGATAAAACGCATATCGAAGAGGCGTTTGTTGCGCTAATGTAGCGCTTCTCACGTGTCGTCTGCTACTTATTTTCTGCCATGAACAGCAGAATTGACGGTGCGACACAAAACTGGGTAGCGCCCCACCACTGTCAGGATTTAAAGACGACTTTCTGCCTCTACTGCCGAAGGTTGACGGTAACGATAAGGACTTTTTTGAGGAACCAATCAGCGTGTCAGAGGTAACAAAAGCGATAGATGACTTAAAACCAGAAAAATCACTTGGCCCAGATGGCTTAATTGCTAGTTTTTACAAAGCATTTAAACATAAAATTTTATCCGTGTTACTCGAAGTCTTCACCGAGGCATATGAAAGAAAAGTCCCCCCCCTCCTTTTCACGCACATACACACACAGTGTTAATCTCAAAATGTGACGACCCCGTTAAGCTTCGCAGTGTTAACTCCTACCGTCCAATAACCATTACTAATGTTGATTATAAAATATTAATGAAAGTCCTCGCTCGCCGTTTGCAGCGTGTGATAACGAGTGTTGTTGGGCCTCATCAGACATGCAGCATACAGGGTCGGACTACTTTGACCAACATTCATGTTGCGCGCAGTATCTTGCAGTGTTGTGACGGTGAGCTGCGCAAAGTCGCCATGTTACAAGTTGACTTGGAAAATGCCTTCGACCGGGTGTCCCATGACGTTTTAAGCCAAATTGTGAGGCATATCGACATAGGACCTATTATTTTTGAAGGTGTGCAAATGGCATATTATAATTGTACAACGAGTCTTATTGTAAATAAGCGAGTCAGTGAACGAATTCCTTTAAAATCTTCTGTTCGACAAGGCTGTCCGCTCTCGCCATTACTGTTTGCACTGTATGTTGAACCGAACTGCTTGAGTATCATTCAGAGTGAGCATGTTCGCGGTTTTACCTTGAATGCGCGCGAGGTTCGCATTTTGGCTTATGCGGACGACATTGCTATTTTTTGCACAGATAGCGCGAGTATTGAAAAAGCCATCGAAATCACAAAAACACTTTGTTCTCGGACCGAATGTTCCGTGAACTGGTCAAAATGTTCGGGTTTCTGGCACGGCCGAAGGGCATCGAAGCCCAACTTTCTCGCTCACATTGCCTGAACAACCCTTCCCACACGTTATCTTGGCGTACCATTGGGGCCCTAAACTCGTGAAACACGAAGTTGGGGCCGAAGTTGAGGGAGCGCACCGATTGGACAATCACAACGATGACTTGGCGCTTTTCTCGCCAACATCCAATCGGCGCGCTCCGCGAACTTTCGGCTCCAACTTTGTGTTTCACGAGTTTAGGGCCCTTGGAATACTATCGTGACAGCGCAGGTCTGTAGAGTGAAGAGACAGATAAGGTGCGCGAGAAAGCGGCCCCCAGTGCAAGCCGCCATTTGTCTATTTTCGCGAGAGCTACAGTGTGTAGTTCATTTTTTGTTGCTAAGCAGGGGTATCTTCTACAGGTCTTGCATTGTTCTCGATTTCAAATTCAGAAGTTGCATCGTGTGTTCGCTGTATATGTTTGGGCGTCCAGCTGGGAGCGTGTCAGCCGAATGAAGTTGTTTCGGCGCGTACGGCATGGCGTTCTTTCTATATCACACCTTTTCATACGCCAAGTTGTTAACCGTTTTCTTTACCAGCGAGATCAAGAAGACCCCTTTCTGCGTACTGTTCTTCAGGTTCAATTGTCGGGTGTCTTACCCAATTTCATCGTTTCATCCAGTGATGGTGCTACGGGACCACTGAGTGCTTATTTGAAGGAAGTTGTCGGTGCATACAAATTTTTAACCGCGCGTTTCTCTTTGGAATAATCTGAGTACTGTCTCCCGAAAGCGACTTACAAGAAATCTGATAGAAACGTCATTTCCAACCCCTTTGTATCGAGCTATTTACAGCGCGACTTCAGGACAGGATGTACTTCGTCGCGTTAAGAAAATGCTGGTCCCGACCACAATGAAAACCTTTTTCTTTTAACTTCACAGCGGAACACTTCCGGTTAAAACATGGTTGGACGAAAAGGGCATATTTGTTCCCTGGACTGTGAACTGTATCTTGTGCAAAAGACCCGAGTCGATAGAGCATGTGTTTTTAGATTGTTGGGACGCGGTGTTCTACTGGGATGCACTGCAGCGAACTCTGAAAAAGGCACTTCCCTTAAGCGCACACCGGATCCGTCTTCTGCCTGTTGCCCCAACCGACTGTGTACCGTATGATTTACTTATGGTTATTGGCTTACACAGTAACTGGAAGAGCCGCATGGCAGTGCGGCATGCTGATGTAGATGCTCGACCAGTAAGTCACTATTTTACCCAGAGCATTAGTCAGATTAGAGAAGTGTATAAGGTTTTGGGAGATGGGCCTGATTGGTTGCCAGTCTTAGACGGACTGGTCACATTAACATCATGTTAATCAGTGTGCGTCAGTCGTGAGTCAGCTTGAACCTTTTTACAAGTGCTTCTGAATGTGTATTTTGTGAACGAATAATGCCTGACAATAAAGAAAAAAACAAAACAAAAAAGAAAGGGATGGTTTAATCGGTTAAGGCGTCGTCCCGGAAAGGCGAAGGTTTCGGGTTCGATCCCCGCTCGTGGCCCAATTTTTCGCCAGCTCTCTTTTTCTTTCCCTTTTTCTAACTTCAATGCAATAAATTCATTCATCACTTTCTCCCCTCTTCGTTCACAAAATTACTACGGCTACACTTGTCAAACTTGGCTCATTCCCATTATAGATAGGTAGATAGATATCGCACCGTGGTATAGACGCAAAGCTCGCTGTCTTTGTCTCTATTCCTGTTCGGCGTTCAAGCACGATCGGCTGGAAAGTGAGCAGAGACATTCAATGAGAAAATGACGGTCGACGAAGCCCACGAATGCATGGAGATGGATGGCGTTAGGTACCGCGATTGGGCTTCATTTTCTCAAAGAAATTTCGAGACAATAAACTATAGCTTTGAATTAGATATCAGCGCCCTCTGTAACTTTGGCATCCCAGCCGGACTGCTAGCGCTACATTTAGGCAGAGACAAAGTTTTTGGTGATCCGTAGTTTATTTCTAAGCAAGGTTCCCCATTTTCCTCGCTTATTTTTCGCTAAAATCGAAGGGTGTCCCAGACTTTATATTTTGCTAAGAATTAGGAATTCATCCGTATTTGTTTTCCGCTATGATCAATTCTCCGAAATGTGAAGTTTAACTTTGCTGTGCTCACAATTCTCCTTTATTTAAAATAACGATAAAAAAACAAAACATACCTTAAATTCACCTGTATCAAACGAAATGTTCTAGCTGGATTTGGCTTGGAACCCTTGCCGTTAGAAATACCAACTCTGCCATGACAAAAATTCCAAACAAATGCTGCTTAAGCAAACGTCGTTATTTTGGCAGCTATGCTCCACTGCCTCGCCCCCTCCTACGAAACTGATGGGTTTATAATTTTTTTCCGTTATAAGAACGCGAACCCTTCGCCTCTAACAAGCCCAAATAGTATGACCCAAACTCAAAACCTGAACAGTGGCTTTTGCCTAGAGCCGCTTTGGTTACTATGGTCCGATATTTGAAAGTAAACCTGAAGTCTACCTCTCCTTGGGACCACTGAACTTACGCACTAACAAAACACGCAGTCCTTTTCTTTTTCTCTTTTTTTCTTGCAATTGTGAAATAACATTTGTTTTGTATTTTCGGATGAATTTGAATTGACAAAATTTGTACCGGTGTGGGCTTTTCGAGTTTTATCGGATTGATCCGAAAACTCGGAACCCAATTAAATTATAAAATAAACCCAAACTTTTTTTCTTTTTTTGCAGACGTTGTACGTGAAGGCGCGAGGGCCCGGAAACTCTTTAGGTTCATCAACTCGTATGGCAAGCAGGCCGTCTTACCCGATGGATGATTGGTGACCGCCTTGACGGCGTTGCTGAGGTCTTCTGTGTTCAGGACGCTCAAACTTAGCACCGTTACGTTGGGCGTTCTCTTGAGAAAGTCAACGTACGGATCGTTCAGCGTAGCGCAGGCGGCGAACACGGTGAATCCCCGGTGGGCCAACTCGATTGCCGCATCGCGACCAAAGCCCACCTCGCAGCCTGAAAAAATCCATTCATTATTCTTCCATTTCGTTTGTTTCACCGTGTTCAAAAAATATCCCGTTCGGGGAAGCTTTTGAATGAACTGCGCACTAGAGGGTGCACAAGCGAGCACGACCACGTCATTCAAAGGAGTACCCGTGCAGAAGGGCGAAATCGGGAGATGGTCGATTGTGCTCATGTGCGCAGTGAAGTTCATAGTGTGGTGGCTAGAAGGGGAAGTGTGGCCGTCGGGATCGAGAGGCTGCACAGTATTGCGTTACCTTTCGACACGCGCAGGGGGCAGCGCATATGTTCTAAATGTAAGTGGGAAGCAGATTTTTTTTCCCCTTCCTGCTGAGTAACAGAACTTCAGACATTCCAACCCCGGAGCGGCAGCTCCGCAACACTGGTAGATATCATATTAAAGCAGCGTCATTAGCCTGCTCTTTTTGACAGAATGCGGAGGGCAAGTTCGTCTTCTTTTTTTACAGGGGGTAGCGGTGACGTCAGAATGCCGAGCCCTGGTTGGCTGACCGCGACCCCCTATCCGAGCGTCGTCTGCTCCTTTGCAACGTCGTCTGCTCGCAACGTCGTCTGCGTCTGTCTTACCTTTCCTGCGACTTTCGGAAGTGAAGGTCTTTACGACCGAGCTCGACTTCGCCTTTCAGAGAGGGCAGAAGAAATAACTCGAGCAGTACGTTGTTTTTGCCTAACAACTAGCGGACGCGCATCAAGGAGAGAAGTCAAAGGACTCACTGGCAAGGTGTCCCGAGGCGCCGAGGTTTGTTTGCTAAGAACCGAGAGTGAGCGTGTTAGTGTCCCACAAGTTCCCTCCCAAATACTTTTTTTCCCTCCTTTCGTGTGCGGCGAGACTCCTCACTTTTTAACGGCATCGGCGGGTTTGCGTGGCTGGCGCAGTTAACGTCGTCTGCTTTATGTCTGCTAGTCAAAGCCATGGCTGCTTTACCTTTCCTGCGTCTGTCGGAGATTCACCGCTCTCCTTGATGCGCGTCTGCTAGTTGTTAGACAAAAACAACGTACCGCTCGAGTTACTTCGTCTGCCCTCTCTGAAAGGCGAAGTCGAGCCTGCTCGTAAAGACCTGCACTTTTGAAAGTCGCAGGAAAGGTAAGACTGACGCAGACGACGTTGCAAAGGAGCAGACGACGTTGCAAAGGAGCAGACGACGCTCAGATAGGGGGTCGCGATCAGCCAATCAGGGCTCGGCGTTCTGACGTCACCACTACTCTCTGCGCAAGAAGCAGACAAACTTGCCCTCCGCATAGGCAGCTATTCAAGATACAACAGCTCATGTAGCAAACCCTCCTAAACATGAACGTACCGGTGATGAAGACACTTTTGTTGACGGTCTGAATCCGGCCGGCCTTGATCATTCGCACCAGCATGCGGCTCACGTGGCTGGCCCAGACGAAGCTGGCAATCAACGCCGCCACCAAGACGAAGAGATCCCAAACGACGTCCACGGCTCGTAGGAGCAAGAAGCCGGCGAAGGTGAAGGCGAGCACCAGTTTGAAGTACATGGTTGGATTAGTCCAAGGCCCCGGAGGCAACTGGAGTGCTGGCCGAGGGGCCCACTCCGTTCTCCTCCTTGTCTTCTTTTATTTTTCTGCGCCAATGCAAAGCCCCTGGATGAATGGCTCACGTGTGAACTTTGCATATTACGCGGTAGCTTGCGCCACCTAGCCTGACAACAAGAAACACATGGTTCTTCCCCCACTCTACTAAGCTAATTTCCTTCTCTGCATTTTTATAGCTATCACCAGGCAGTAGGGTACATCGCCAGAATAACCTTGGAAGATCGTCAAAACCAATACCCCCCCCCCCCCCTTCTTCTTCCTTGCCGTCAAGAAAGTCGCCAATTTTCCTTTGGCCAAACCTTGTCGGCGTTGCCCTAACGCTGGATCCATTGGGAGATAGGGTTGAATCTTTGGGCCAGAGCCATGCTGGAGAGAGTCCAAATTATCTTATGTCCCACCTGTCCCCCTGCTGTGCTAGTTAGTTGTGTTTAATTCAATTTTCCTCAGATAATGTTCACCAATCTTCCAACCTCATCTTTGTGTAATAAGTTTCACTAGATAATTTACATATTTTCTTCCCCTAATTTTCCCCTAGATAATTGCTACCAATGGTTCTAAACCTCAGAAGGTTTGAAAGGAACGGGCGGGCGGCGACAGCGCATAATAGACTAGAACCCCGAGACCATGCAGCTAGAAAGAGGGGCGACACAACACAGAAGTCTCACTTTTTTCCGAATAATCTTAACCTACCCTTGATTAGAGCGCCTCAACGTTGCTGGGCTGGCGGCCATCCCAGAATGGTGACAACTCTGTTGTCTGCTAGCGGATCCACCATCTTGCCCCCCACTCATATGAAGCAGTTTATGAGCTGTTTGCGGAGTTATTGAGTATTACCAGTGAAATGACGCGGGATGACTTTAAGACGCATTCCATTAAGAAACCGTATGTTTTCGGCGCCGCGGCCTAATGATAACGCGATACAATTACACGGATGACAGCATTTGTGGCGCTCCATTGCATTCCCTAATCAAGAAAGCCTCTACTTGGAATAAGTCAACCCAGCCTTACGAAGAACATCCTAATTTGGTATTACATTTCCTAATTCGGCACAAAAGATCAACCGGTCTCACGTACATGGGGCCAAAAGCACATCGCGGGAGACGAAATGATGGGCGCGCACGGGAAGGGTGGCACTTTCCTTCCAAGAGAATGTCGCCACTCTGTGCGCAGCCAACAAGCAACATTGAGGTACTCCACCCTTCGTACGAAGGTATTCACTGGACGCCATATTTGAGGGCGATGTTTTGAGCGTATGCTCAGAACGAGCTCACATTAATAGCCTGCTAAGACCGACAACCTTGATGGTGCTAAATGCACGCTCCAAAAGGACTGCGGAAGCTCGCCGTCAGCATGCGCTCAGCAGCAGCGCACACGAATATGGCCCGCCAGTGAATACTCCCTATAACCTTCATACCCTTGATGCATTTGCGTTCGTTTTACAAGTAGCGACAAATTTGCCAATGCACGGGTCACGTGCCCGATGCGGCCCTTAATTGTAGGATCTAGTAAAAGGGTTGATAACTGGGCTAGTTGGTAGTTGAACACACGCTAATGCCGTTAATATGTGTAGGATCTAGTTATACTTCGTCTCACCTTAGCATGGACTAACTGCGAAGGCTGTGCAAGCGCGAGCGGGTTGCCTTGTCTGCCTTGACTGGAGCACTCGCTGCACGAGCGCTCGTGCAGCCGCCGAGGCTTCATCCAAAGCGAATAGCTCGCGCTTTTAGCATGCGCGGCTAACAGTAGTCCATGCTAAGGTGAGATGAAGTTTATAGACGCTTTCAGCGCGCGCCAAATTGAGCCGCCATAGCCGACCTTCTCTTGTCTTGCCGCCATGCCGAGCCACTGAAGCGGGCGTTGACGAGGCTGTACAAGGGCCTATGCAGGAAACAAGGACACGGTAGAATCTAAAATGGCAATGACCTGTCCTGCTGTGGTAATGATGAAGTAGAGCGAACGGAATAAGAGGAAACAAAAACTGAAGGTCGGTTATGGCGGCGCCCATGCGCAGCTGCCTGAAAGCGTCTATAGAGGGTGCTTTACTTACAAACGGCAAGAATCAAAAGATACAAAAAATATTGCATAATCATACCTTGCACTTTGTGGCTTATTTACTTGTTCGTAGCCTTTTCCTCATATATGGCGCAGAATTTTTCCGGAACAAAGGAGTTGCATGCTCTTAGCTGCGCATGCAGATCGGGCGATTGAGCTGGGCTCGGGCCACGGGCTGTTCGCCGCCGATCTCGATCTAGATCTTCTTCGCCGTGCGTCCGCCCCTGCAGGAGGCGGCCAACGGGCGGCGCGAGATACGAGCCAGTCGAGAGGTAGATTATGGTGGCTTACATAACGTAGTTGTTGTTGTTGTTGAAAACTTTATTCGTACATTCAGAAGGGAAAAATGATGGGATCAGGCGACCGGGAGCCCTTGGGCCCCGGCGGCCTCCGCAGCCCATTCACAGGCCGCCGCTTGAACGACCGGATCTGAGCTACACATCATTGCGTCCCGCTGCTCCATAGTTTCGACGTTTCCATATCTCTTCGGGAGGTTGGGGCACCCCCACATCATGTGGGTGAGGTTGGCTGGCTAAGGACAAAATTTGCATATGCCCGTGTACCTATCGGGATAAATGTGCGAATATATTGTGGGATGAGGATATGTGTTTGTCTGCAATCGGCGCCAGGTATGTTCCTGGGCCTTGCTTAAGGATTTGTGGCCGGCGGGGTATCGTTTGCGAGCGAGACGGTATGCCTGCGTAATTTCCTGATACGTGGTCACTACATCCTTGTGGAGGGTCAAACCACTTTCCCTATCTCCCGGTGCCCGGTAGGCAAGTTCTCGGGCGGTGTTGTGGGCAAAGTCGTTGCCTGGGAGAGAGGAGTGGGCGGGTGCCCAGACAATGCTGACCGTGTCAGTAGGGACGATGTCCCGGAAGATCCTGGCCGCGAACCTCAATATGCGGCCCCGGGCGTAATTTTGAACTGCGCGCTTGGAGTCCGAAATGATGGTGGTAGCGTTAGGTAGCGTGAGGGCTAGAGCTATGGCTGTCTCTTCCGCATCTTCAGTACTGGTGGTGGCGATGGATCCACCGCTGAGAAGTACCCCCTGGGAGTTCGTGACGACCATCGTCATTGCCGGATTCGTGGCATGGTCGGCCGCGTCCGTATAAACTGCACCGAGATCCTGATGGTATCGTTCGTGAAGATGCTTGCAGCGGTCTCGGCGACGTGCATCGTGGTATTCCGGGTGCATGTTTTTCGGCAGTGGGGAGACCAGAAGGTGCTTCCGGACTTCCCTTGGGAGGTTCATTTTGGGCTGCGTCGTTCCCTCGTGTTGAATGCCTAGCGCGGCAAGAATATGTCGGCCCGTCGCCGTGGTGGTGAGGCGAGTATATTGAGAGTGAAGGTGTCCTTCAATGAGTTCTTCCACGGTGTTATGAACTCCGAGCGCTCGTAGTTTGTCAGTGGATGTGCCAATAGGGAGCCCTAAGGCCGTCTTGTACGCTCCTCGGATGATCGTGTTTAATTTGTTGCGTTCCACTGCGTAGGGTTTCATGTATGGGGCGACGTAGTTGATGCGACTAAGCACAAAAGCTTGTACGAGCCGAATTAAATCATTTTCCTTCATTCCGTGATGCTTGTTTGATATTCGCTTGATGAGGCGGGATGTTTGATGTGTGACACTATCCAGTTTGCGGATCATTTCGCTGTTATGACCGTTGTCCTGGAACAACATACCCAAAATGCGAATGGTGTCGACCTCATTTATTTCTGTGCCTTGTAGAGTCAGCTTCAGTCTGCAAGGTTGTTCACGCGTCGCTTTGCCTCTCCGTACTGGTCTGAGCACCATGTACTCCGACTTCTCTGTGGAGCAGGCCATGTCTCGGATGCCTGCGTACTTTTGTACAGCGTCAATGCCTTCTTGCAATATACCTTCGAGACTTCCAGCCGTGCCTGCCTCCGCCCAAAGTGTGACGTCATCGGCGTAGAGACTGTGTTTGAGCCCGGGTATTTGATTTAACTGCTCTGGCAATCGACAGAGAGCAACGTTAAACAGGAAGGGGGAGAGGACTGCCCCCTGTGGGGTGCCTCGGCCACCCATGAATATCGTCTGAGAGGTGGTGTCTCCGACCCTTAGTGTGGCTGTACGACCTGTCAGAAACGCCTTCACGTAATTATAGGTCTTCGGTCCGACTTGGAGATATTCAAGATTTTCCATGATAGCCATATGGGACACGTTGTCGAAGGCTTTTTTAATGTCTAGGCCCACTACTGCTCGGTGGTTCTGTTGGTTGAGCGTGCAAATTGCTTGATGATGTATTTGAAGGAGGACGTCTTGAGTGGATAACCCCGGCCTGAATCCTATCATGGTGTGTGGGAGGAGGTCTTGATCATCGACATAGGCGTGCAGGCGAGCGAGTATGATATGTTCAAATAACTTTCCGATGCACGATGTGAGGGATATGGGCCTTAGATTTTCAAGTTGCAGAGGTTTCCCCGGCTTGGGTATGAACACCACTGTGCCATGCTTCCATTGCTCAGGAAGAGTGCCTTCCTCCCAGCACTGGTTAAAGTATTGGGTTAACGCCTCTATCGAGTTGTCGTCGAGGTTCCGTAGAGTCTTGTTTCGCACTCCATCGGCTCCCGGTGCCGAGGTGGTTTTGAGCTTCTGAAGGGCGGCTCTTACCTCGTATTCTAGTATCGGGGAGTCGAGTTCTTCATTAGGTGATCCACAGTAATCGGGGACGGTGGTGGGTATCTGGTTCCCTATGTACCGGGTTTGCAGTTCTTGTAGGAATGCGTCCATGTCACCGCGATGGTGATGTATGAGACGGCTCATGTTGCGGCGATGTTCTGCCTTCGTATTTTCTTGGTCAAGCAGGTGTTTGAGAAGGTGCCAGGTCTTGGCCATTCCCAAGCTACCCTGCATGTTGTCGCATATTTGATGCCATTGTTGATGGGTGAGGTTTGTCGCGTACTCCTCGATATCTT